CTATTATTTATATTTAATTCTCTACCATTTTCTCTACCTCTTTTACATTTGTGAATCGCTCTTCTGTTCCCCACCCCTCGAATTTCTGCTAATTTGATGAACCTTAAATCCGTGAAGCCCAAAGTCATCTAAATGGCTAATGATAGCTATCAAAACACCTGCCATTTGAAATAAATAATTATTTAATTCTCCATGTTTCACCGACTTTCTAATTTCTTATTTGGGAACTTTTGTTTTTTATTTCATAAAAAAATTGTATATTCACTTTGCAAAAAGTGTTATTCTATATTACGGCTATATAATTTATGAATCGGTAGGGCTGTTAACAACAAGGTCACGGAAACGATTCCCCATCGGTTTGCACCCAATGAGAGGGATGACCAATAGGCCTAGGAAACAAGAATGAGAAATTGCATAATTGGTTTATCTCATCATGTTAAATGATAATGGAAAGTGGCGAGATGAAAGGAATCCTGTATGAGTACAGAAAAGTAAACTGAGGTTATATTTTTTTATTTAACATTAATAAATATAGAAGATTGCGAATAACTTCACGATGTGCATTTAATAGTTGACAACAAGTGTTAAAGGTGTTCACCATGAGCTTCGATGCACAACTTATCACGTCCAAACAAACGTGTTTTTTTTGTGATTTCCGCAATCGTATGGCACATATTCATTTTTAGTTCCACTTTGCTTTTTATGTCGACCGTGGGCCGCAATGTTTGCACCACACCCTCCCCCCCCCCNCCCCCCCCCCCACCCCGCCACCCCCACCCCTAAATTGCAATCTGGCGGGCGTAACTTCTTCAAGGTGTTCTGGGATAAGCTTCGTTTGATGTTTGGTTGAGAGTAAAGACGTCTGTGCAATTTCTGTGGACTTATTGGCTGAGTCTTGTGAACACGTTGAATATTTTTCCCGGACAACCCGTATGCCTATGTCTATCCTTGACCGAAATTATAGCTCAAATTTCAACGTTCATTTTCTGGTCAATTCTTTTATAAAGATCAATTGTCCAGGAATATTTTTTGGTGAGCCATTCATTTAAAAGTACCAACGATTTACATCCCAACTCAGTAAATCTCGTTATTGATTTGAAAGCAGTACTCTACCTGACAGCATTCAGGACCGTTATTAGCAAATGACATTACTAAGCTGAGCATTGTACACCTAAAACACAGTGATCGCTGGGATATCACTTGACTCCACGCAAGCGCTCAAAATGCATTCAGGACTTCATTTATCCTGACGACACTTCTCTTTTTATAACAAGGGTCTGAAGATGTTTTCTTAAATTAATCCTTAAACTAACAATCACGTAAATTAGGTTCAGAATAAACCAATAAAAATAATTACTATGAATCATTAACATCTCTAGTTTGTTACAAATATATTTCGATTAAATAATAAATTTCACGTTGATTTTAGTAACTTTGGTAGGACCAATCATACACTGGTTAATAATCTCTGAAAATAGTTGTAATTATTCACTCTAAGAGGCTATAATACAGATAGGAATATTTTCAAAAGTCATAAAATTCCCTGCCCAAATTTTCCACGATAAGAAAATAGCAAACATGTCAACCCTGTCTACGTTATCAATAAATGTTCTATTTACACTCTAATTAATTTATTATACCATGATAATATTTCCGCCATGTCTTTAGGGATTTTATGATTCTTTTTTTCCTTTTCTTCTCCTTTTCAGGCACCAATGTGTGTCAATCGATATCAGACAGTTGCACAAAACACAAGTTGCGTCAGCACTTTAATTACCAAATATTTGTTACCGATGTCACAGTACGATGATAAGCAAAACCCATTGTTTAATGTGCATCGCTTTTTTGAACAAATGAAAGTCTCAAGTGAAGTATACAGATTTTATTGTAATGAGTTTTATTGTTTGAGATTTCCTATTTGGGCCAAAATAAAATCAATGGAAACATAGATCTGTAACAGTGCGAAGGAGATAAAGATGAAGATAAAGAGTGGGAGGAACAATAACCACTTCCATCAGCATCCAGTTATGGTTGAGTATACCTTAACTAATATCCATTAGCTTACCCAGGTTGGATTACTAATTGGGAGATGTTCACCTATTGGATTGACGAGGTTGCTAAGCTTATCCCAGCACCAATTCTTCAGTAATATAGCCGTTAGGGACTTAATATCGAGTGTTGTAAAAACATCCCCTTATAAAGATCTTAAGATGCTTTAATGCCAAAAAATTCTCAAGTTATTGACAAACAATGAGGTCTGGAGTCTAGTCTTTCTAGTGCAAACAAGTTTCTAAAATGGTGTCCCAAGTTTGTTCATATTGGTAGCTCATCAGTAAACAAGCTTTCCATCTAACTCAGCACACATCAAGTAAGTGGTTGACCTATAGGACTGACTAAAATTGGCTGAAGCAAGAGGTGATGGAAGAATTTAGGTTTCTTAGTGGTGAGGCTTCTTTTTAATACACCTTCACGAAATATGGAGGCATGGAAAGCATTTCTGAATAGCTCGGATGTTTGGCCAATTTTTATTTATAAGTCCAACTGCGTATGGAACCTCGTTTAAGTCGTCTTTTTACATCAAGCTTTACTTTATTATTATTTAATTTTTAAGAAAAAAATTATGCTTTAATCAATCTTTACCCAGATGTCAGCTTTCATCAAATATTAAATATAATTGACATCCTATGTGAGAATGCATGTTAGAGAGAATTGGAAAGGAGGATTCAAGTAAGCTAAATTGTTTGTGAGGCGGTATTATATTTTTGTATCGCGAAACACACAAGTGAATCCAAAGTGCACACCACACCCACTAGATGTGTTTTGAATAAAAGTTGTGAAGTCATAGCACCACCACGCCAATACCACCACCAATAGAGAATAACTCATACCTGTCAAATGGCTTCTTTCTGATGAAGCCAACAGTATGAAGTCATTAATAGAATGGCCCGCTTTAGGTAACCTCTCCAAAGCTATGTGATGGCAGATGAAAACAGAAACTCATCTTAGTAGCAAATATTGTCTGATTTGATACGCTAATAAAATTAATTTCGGTTTTATCTATGGTGCCTGATATTAGTGTTTTGAGATATTATCAATGAGCAGGGTGCCATATCCATGCATATCTTGTCATGAATGTTCTACTCAAGTCATTAATGGATACGATGGTAACTTTTTACATCTACTTAATCATCACTGAACCTGAAGCAATAAACTGAGCGGCACTTTTGAAAATTATATCAATAAATTCCTGATTATGAGCTTAGCTCTGGTCCCACTCAGACGTACCGGTTTTCATCTCACACATGCGCGCACACACACACACACCCATCAATCCAACACTCTTCTCTCCGATGCCTCTCAGTCAGGTACTCTCTTATATTTTATATTTTTCTCTCCGCTCTACTATTCTTAAAATTAATACCCCAGCAAAGTCGTTTATTTCATTTTCGCTTATAGTAGGCACGTACTTTTACCCCAATGCGCTCAATGTAAATATAATAGCTATCGAAAGTTATCAGTAAGTCGAAAAATGTCAAGTTTGATGCTGCATCTTGTGAAGTTCCTTATTATGTAAGGTATTTATTGAATGTGACTTCTTTGGTTCTGGTGACTAATCCGTATCCCGAGATATTAGATTATTGAAAGGGAAAGTGGCTGTGAATACTGTGTCCGATTGCTTTCTCCTTTTAGTTAAAAGAAATGTGAGTTTTAAAGAATTTTTGAAGAGAGTTGGATGTTAGTGAACTGTGGGAACTCATACATCAGTCATCTGAGAGACGTCTTCAATTAGTATCGTCGTCAATAGAAATGATCGCCATCTCAACTTAGCTGATGAATAGGAGAACTGCATACCCATAGACTAAGTAAACTAATTTTTTAGTCTAATCAATTGAAAAATCATTCATCGGTAGCATTTAGCATAGCGTGGTTCCATATCTGCGTTGACATTCTGGCTTCTGTCAATTTCATGAAACTGTCTAATAATCAATAAATCGAACGTGGTTCAAAATCATTTTCACCGAGCAGCGTGACATGGCACCAAAATGTTAATTGATATACTTAAATCAACAGACATGATATAATCAAAGTGACGGACAGACGAAAATTTCCTTAAACGAATGAAGAAAATGCGACTTATGAATTTGACCTTTACCGTTAGAAATTAAATGAAATTTTTGATCAATTGTGTTAAATGACTGGTTCATTTAATTTCTGAAATTTCGATTCTTTGATAGCCTCACAGGTCAAGGACAATGAAATAAAGTTGGTTTTTCATATTAATTTCATTTATGCGAGAGAATAATTCTACGACCAGTAAATAAAAGTTCTTTAGAAAGGTCACCACGGCCCATTAGTGCAACATGTTCTAAAAGTTACGAAATCAGCTAAATTCACATAGTTAATCACTAATAAGTGAAATTTGTTGCCGAAAGATAAATAGGTTAGAAGAATTAGCAAATTCGTGTGCCTGTAAAGTGTGATTTACAGGCTACTAAGCTGCAGAATACGGATTTTCGAAACGCCGGGTTTTTTTCAGGGATATTAAAAGAAAAAATTCTTTTTAGACCAAAGGTAGACACATAGTTGATAGAAATATCGATACTAATCTATCGATCTAGCAGTAATAGGCGTAGGTAACCCCCTCAACTAAACGGCTTTAAAACCGTTTAATATTATTTTTTAATCCCCATCATATTTAAGGAAGAAGCTGCCCACTGGATTTTGTAAGTAAAGATTAAAAGGTGCAAATGAGAAACTTTAAGCACTGAGATAAGGGTTTAGTGTATAAATTGGTACATCATCTTAGGTTTCACCTTTCTGTGCACATAAACCCATGCATCTCAAACCGCTGATTGGTTATCAAGGTCAGCGTGGTGAATTCATGTGTTTATGTACCACCCAAACACATGTCTGCGCACGCCTCACTCTAGAATGCACACACACGTGCACCTCTTATACAACCAGAGTTATACTCTTGTCATAACATTCTCATTACCCATATGGATTTCTCCACCAACTCTTCAGGAGTTGGGACTAACATCTACTCAGTCCCGTCCACTACCACTCATCAATTGCAAACGAACCAACAGTCCTCACCCATGTTTAGCTCCTTTGACTATCACCCCTCTACCACCGCACTTCCAGTCCCTCTTTCAGTCCCTACTAATCCACTCGGACAGCACCCCAGTTTCATGCAGGACATTGCATTCGCGAACAGAAGTGCCCGACTTAATCCCTCAAGTCCAATCGTCAATAATAGTAATCAACAGGTGAAAGTTATGACTAGGAGTTATTTACCGAATGGAATAAATGAGGGTTGTGGAATGAAGTCGGCAGATGAAGGAGGTGGAGGAGGAGATAGAATGACAACCCCAACCTCCCAATTAGGAGCTGCTTTCGGAAAAATTCTTAATGGAAGCCCGTCTGCTGCCAAAAGGGAGAAATGTTCAGACGAAACAACGAATAACCCAATTTTGCACATGAATTTCCAAGAATTGACAGCTATGCGGGCGGAGTCAATGAATTTCGCAGTGAGAGCACAGAATTCTCAGGTTAGTTGACCTTTATTGGGTATTATTTTTATGATTGGCATATAATGGTGTTAATGTTGCTATCTAATGGTAACTTAAATTTACAAAAACCCAGTTGACATTTAACGCGCCTCTAATCACCAGTAGAGTGGCCCTTTGTGAGCCTTGAGTAAAAGGTTAATTATGTTGCTATTTATTCTGCAGTTAAAGTTATTTTGATTTTGTCAGCGCTCAAGATCTATGTAAATGATAAAGATATTACGAGTTTGTTTCATATATTTTATTGCATTTTTAAACAAAATATTTTAAGTTGAATTTTCGTTCTTCCTATTTATTTTACCTCATCAAACGGAGGAAATGAGGCTTTATTTCTGTTAAAAGTTTAAATCTTGACCAAGACATCATTTCCTTCATAAAATAAATAATTCTATATAATTGACAATTAGAATATCTTGGCCTAATTAGGCTTACTCTATTTGTGACTTCTACCTATTCAGGTACGAATCTAACCCTAATTGGCGTTATATGCTCATATTCCCTAATTCCTAACTATTGAATTGCCAAACCCACGTTTGCACTCTTGAAATCCCTTCAGCTATTTGGAGACGGTGCCAAATGCTCCTGCATTTACAGACATACTGCCTTAAACTGTAACATGCGTAATGACCGCCTTTAATTTTCTCTTCTGGAACCTGAGAGATAACAGACGGAAGAGTCTGATACACATCGAGGCCCTTTCGAGTAAACACCCTTACTGACTCGTGTATATATATATGTGTGTGTATGTATATTCACTTTATCAACACAATGAAACCAACCATAACCATACTTCATTCGGTCAGCTTTACGGCACGTAAAATACGAGTTGTGTTTTACACACGCAAATAGTTGAACCTATTTCGTATAGTTCGGAGTAAGCACACACTCCGAAAACATAATTAATGGCACCCAAAGACCGGATTCTACGCAATGGAGGGTGGAGAGTGGCTTATCATAAATAAAGCTTGCGTGTTTTTAACAGATAAGACTGTCCCACCTAGTGTATACTTAGACCACGTCTTTGGACTTATTGCGTTGGATTTCATCATTCCACCACATATACTATTTGTGCTTCGCTATCCAGTTGTTTCAGAAGCATCACATTAATTTTATATGTTAATGACAAAAACTTGTAATTCCAGCAATTGGGTTATTTGTTCTGATGCCAAGATAGTAGCTATGTGAATTTTCTTTTGCTTTTTTGGGTTTAAGTCAGCATATTTGCTCTCACTTTTATTACCCGATAGTGACTGGAAAAAGTTGACAATTTCAATTTAAATAATGTATTGAAGTAGGATGCCGATTCTTCAATATTTCAATATAAATCCATTTTTAATCATTCCAATGAGTTGTGGATGTGAAAAAGAGAAGAATCGTCAACAGATCTGCAATTTAGTTTTGAAAATGAGTCTAACTTCGATACACCACTTTTTGGTTTGAGTGGGCTTCACCACTTGGCAAAAAGAAAGGAAGGCAGATATAAAATGATCATTGACCACTGAGTGGTCAGGTGGTGTAAAAACAAAGTCGATTAGCAATCCGATAACTTGTTTAAGTAGACAAAGGGTTAAAGGTCACACCTTCAATAGTAGCAGTTAACACACACTTAACTCTTATCGCACGGTATGCTTAAACACTCTAGTCTAGAATTTCATATGTATATGGGGTCACTAAAAACACTCGAACAAAAGAATGAATGACCAAGACTGTTTTTCGTTTTAGTTACAATGTTCGTTTGTTTTAAATTGAAATGCTAATTGAGTAGTATTAATTTGACTAGAGGAAATGATAAGTCACTTAGTCACGTACATAAAGCGGTACTACTTTCGGGATTTGAGTGAAGTATTGGATTGGATATTCAAACTATGAACAAGGGAATTTTCAAGGTTTATTGTTCCATTTAGCGCGGAATGGAGCGGTTTCCCTCCACCATTCACTAATACTTTACTCTCCCAATAGCGGGTTTCCTTTCATCGATCCATCTATGCCCAATACTTATCCTTAGGTGCTATAAACTATTAGCTACTTGTAAGCGATCTGAATTTTTTATAGTATATTGGTTGCTACTTACATGCTACAGAATTCTCAAAATAAGTATTGTATGATTCTTCCCATTTCTAATCTTTTTATCATTCTCTAAGCTGGAATCGGCTACTTCTTGCCGTAAACGTCGCAGTATGTCCCAAGATCCCTACTCTTCGGACTTCTACCGATCTGAGAGGAGTATCTCACGTGGTGAAGAGTTGATGGACACTGGCCAGCCACTGCCGCCACCACCTCCCGATTTCTGTTTTACACAAGAACCCCTCTCCCAAAGACCCATGTCAATATCTGGTGGTCCAGTCTCTTCGAATTCTACAAGCTCCTCTCCGAAAATTGAACGAAGTCCAATTAAATGTCCTCACATTGATCCCTCTGTGATGCGAAGGAGTCCTCGATTCACTCAAGCTCAAATTCATCAACAACAGCAACAACATTATGTGTCATCCCAGAAGGTAAATTAGCAATAGATAACCCCCCCCCCCCACTGCCCCAACACCCTCAAATAACCACCCTACGTTTGATCTTATGTTTCACTGAATGTAGTTCAGAGTCTCAGGTATAATTTTAACTCGGAATATTGCCACTAGTCAAATAGAATAGCGAAACTAGTGTGAAGAGAGGAGGTTTGCTTATGATTAGATACAAGTTTGACCATTTCATAACAATCGCAAGAAATAACTAAATTAAGATGTATATGCACTAAGATTGCACATTTTTAAGGAGGAGATCATGGCAATTTTGCGGTTTGTGGAACCAGAAGTTCAATTCTCTATTTAATTGAAGTCCTTTATGTTGTAAATATAAGTTCAGTCCGGCACCATATATTTTTCATTCACAAAGTTCCTTATGGAGGCTGGCGGCTGTTCAAGATATGGAATGGTATTGAGGTCATCGATAGATTTTTATAGCTTTCGGGTAGACAAGTGAACCATGCGCGGGATTTGAATAGCGGTCCATTAAAATGCGTGATGATTGCCAACTTTTGCAAAAAAATACGCTGCTTTCTTATCTTTTCACGCTTTACTTCATATCACTTTGGGTCTGTGAAGCGAAAATCCACTAGGGTAGATCTTAACGACTCTAGAACTTTACTTGCTATCCCAATAAATCACCCTAGATGCATGCCGATTTCTGGTAATTTTTAACAATAACCAATATCATTAGTTACATGATGAAGATAAAAAGTGGTCACATCATTATTAACGACGCAATCACTTGATTCAGCGAAGCTACACCAGGACACAAGACCTAACAATTGTCCTACTTCATATTCTTAAGAAAGCTTTGATTTATATGGGGTCACGGTGTGTCTCTTTGTTTGTGGAGTAATTTCCTTATTATCATCATCAGAAGTTTAGTAGGAGAGTTCTGTATTTAGTACTTCTACGACCCCACTGGAAACCAGAATCAAATGGGAGCGAACACGTCCTCACGTGCCCCGAATGCAGCTTGGGGTCAGATGACAAGACAACAACAACTGGCCATTGTCAACAATCCCCGATGGCGTCTACCTCACAATATGCCCCCTCAACCACCTCAACAAACATCACCCCTATCTTCTCAGGAGCAGTCTCTTTCAACGGTCCCGGTGAGAAAAGCCTCCTTGTGCGATCCAAGACGTCCATCTACCCACAGAGGACTTGGCATGAATGCTGCCGAACAGTCATTAGACCAATCTGAGTACGTGTTAGCTTCATTTTTGCCACCAGTGCCTTAACTTTCTGCTTTAGTCTTGTCTCAGTTGAACCAGTTTGATTCCCTTACCCATACTAGTTCTAATCTAATGTTCTCCCTTCATGAGAATTTGTGTGATTCAATACTTGGAGGTCAGGGTTAGAGAAAGAGTGAAAAGGGTAAATATGTAAGAGTATAAATTTTCTGAATTAAATATCACATTCACATACCAAATGTTAGCATCCAGAAAATGTGACATCGTCTCATTCCCCCCCCCCCCTCCTTCTCTAACCATTCACTGAATTTTTCCATTTTCTTAATGAATTCTTTTGTTTTGATCTTAGCCAAGGTCGTCTGGTGACTAGAGTACTTATAAAGAAATTTATATACATATTCTAATATCTTTTTAAAAGTTCTTAATGAAAGTGGGCGTTTGTGAAAAGAATTTATAAAATTATGTATTAATTTCATACTTTCTAAGATCGATTTAACTTCTAGGTTCATTAGAATATATGAGATCACACCGGGGTTCAAGCTCGTGTAAGCTGAGAGGTATTTAGTGGGGCTTGAAACCTAGGTGCAAAGCAATTATTTTCGAATATGCAACATACAAGTCATTTCTGAAAAAAAATTACTTTCAGGGCTCATATTTGACTGACTAATAAGTTGTGTTAAGCCTAAGAGTGATTATTGTGCTCTTAGAACAGTTGAAAGTCATCGTACGTTCCTAGTCATCTTGCTTAGCTTTCAGGTATCTGAATTACAGGTGCACTCCACCACACCGGGCTTAAGAAGATGAATATCCTAGTACTTAATGAACTTTCTACGTGTTTAGATGCATAACCACATTTAAAATCTGCAAAATTTTTGACGCCCTGCTATAATAAATGAAATGAGATGAGATAAAAATTAAATATTGCATACCCTCATTATTTATTCATTGGCCCTTGTCTCTTTTATTCTAGAGCACTCATGAAACTGAGTCCCAGTAACTCTAGCTTCGAAACTATGATGGAAACAATGCAAAATGAATTCGATTTTTCAATGTCAGGCAGAATAACTGACACTTCATCTGCTAATCGACCGCACCAAGACACTCTTCCTCAAGGTGGGTATCTACTTGAGCAGTCGTTGCAATTCAAAAAATAACCTAATAACACTAGTTGAACCTTAGAACAAAATGCTTTTTTCTTTTAAAAATTAGGGTGTGAACATTGAAGGAAAGAAATATTTGAGGTTTGATTTGGGGAAATGTGGTATCACGTACCATTTTTGCTCAAATTTCACTAGATTTCCACACTAAAGTGGTTCCATACATATTTAATCTTTCGCTTTCTCCTTTATTTTCTGTCAAATTCTTTGACTTTGAGATTTTAGTTAGTCTTATTGCGTTCACTACTTACTTTGTTTGCCCTATTATTTCACAGATTGAGACATAGCTGAATTCAAGGGGTCAGGAAGCGGACCACCTTCAGTAGCTCCACTAATTACTTCCAAAGTGACTTAACAGACTTAGTGCCACGGCATTCAAGGGTTCACATGTCCAGCGTCCATCAATTCACACCAGGTGCGTGAAGAGATGGAAGATATATCGTTTCTCTACAGAGTGACTGAACGATAATACGTCCAGGCCATGAATAAAGGGCTTTCCTAAATAGGCTTGGGAATGATTATTACTTTTGTTATAATTATTACCACTATTAATCCACATCTAGAATTATCAAGTGGTATAAGCAAACGTGTTTTTTGTCATATGTAGATTACTTGAAGCTTTAAGTTATGTGTATGAACAATATCGACTCCAGACAACCAATTGTGTTAATTATTTACGTTTAAAACTTGCCAAAATCTATAATCAAAGTTAAATTCTATGCATACTTCAATATAATTCCTTTTGACACCTTGAAATGTTCGCATGCAAATATCATTTGCTGTATTTATTCACCAGGTCGTACATTTCCACTATTCCTGCATAAATAAGGCGGAGGTTCGTAGAAAAGATATTTTTCACTGATTAATAAAAGCATATATAAAACGATTCCGTTCACAATAAGCTCATAGGGTAATTTTGAGTCAAATAGCCTCCTCATCTTATTGCCTCTTGGTAAATATTTAAAATTGCACAACCATGAGTTGGATGCAGAAGTCAGGGGCCAGTCACAAAACATATGTCCCTTACATTTAGTCAGTTTTTTATTTATTTTTCTCAAGTTTAAAGGTATTTTGTCAGGCTTTGAAGCCCTCCAATACAAACTGAGCCTAATTCTAGACCTACCGCACATTTCCGATTGTTTTAAATTACCCTTGTTTTGTGTTTGCTCCTGGACGAACATTCAGGTAGTCAATTTAATTTTCGATGTCATCATTCACGCAGGCACTAATATGTTTTCCACTCACACTATAAATTATTGATATGACCTTCAAATTGTCCCTCAAATGCGGTTTTTTAACTTCTGCCATTTTTACGTGTTTTGAGGTGATTTCGAGCTTGAGTTATTTAGTCCTTAATGTGGCAAAGAACAAACCATCTTTGAGGCAAATTGGATAGGAAGAGGACGCAATAATTAAATGTGAAGTTGTAATAAGAAAGAGAACCAACTGTAGTCACAGGTACTTAGGCAATAATGGAAGTTTAAATAGACTGCTTTCCCGAGATTATAGCTGGTCACGTCAAGAGACGAGTTTCATTTATACCGGAACTGATGCTCACGGTATTGCAAATAATCAAACGGCATAGTATTCCAAATCCCATACTTCAATTTTGAGAAGTTCATATGTCAGTTCTCTATCATCTATCATGCAAGTTGAACACACATTGCTCTGTTATATTTATGCATTCCGGTTCTTATGGTTGTGATTGAATATTATTTTTTGCAAGAAAAATTAAATTAACAATCAATAGTTAAGTAGTTTAAGTAGGTGGAATGTTGCCCTGCATAATTTTTGAGTTGCGCTTACATGTTTTAATTTAGTTCTGACATTTTTTGGACTATTTCGAGAGATTTTTGCCATTGCTGATCGGTTCATATATTGACTTATAATACACTTTACCATATACTACTAATAATTATTATAACAAGAATGACTCCAATTACCTTTAAATTATTTCAGTTGGAGTAATTTAGTTGTTGAAAGTAATTTAAAACCTAACTACCGAAAATACTTTCCATTAAGGCTCATGGAAGGTAGATCTCAATCCCCGTAACAAGTAGCCAATCACGTTTGACTAAGGCTTTAGAAGTAATTTATTGCAATTACAAGAGTTGTGATGGCCTATGAATCTTAACGTGATCCATTTGAAAATTTTAGCATCCACATTTTTTTCAAAACCTATACAGTAGTGAATTGCAAATATAAAGCTATATTAACAAATGAATTATCAAACTCCAAACTTTAGGAAAAAGAAACTTTAATATGAAAGAATAACCATATATAAATTTTTCCATAGAACATTGATGACGTTTTAGTCTTCCGAAATATTCTTTGACTTTCATTCTAATAAGGATTTCCCGGGGGATATTCGATATTAACTTCTCACCCTACCTTTTTAAAAAAAATTAAATTCAGGTCTTAAAGAACAGTGTTAGCATAGATGCGTGTCGTTGACGTGCCATTCTGATGCCAAATTTACATTGTCAAAGGACAGGGGAGGGGAGACGGGCGGGGCGTGGGAGGGTAGAGCATCTGTCACGAGTGTCAGGGCGGAGTCAACGCGGTGGAGCCAGAAAACGCGGTTTTATGTAGGCAGGGGAAGAGGGAGGAGTGGGGTCAGCTGATTCAACCAGCACTTGTGTTAATCGTTTAGTGGCATGTACTTGGGCCCTGACTTGCCTCGATTACGGATTACTAATAATTAAATGAGTATTTAAAAAGTCTCTGGTCTTTACCTTAAAACTTCATGTAGTTAAGCAGGAATGCCTCTCGGAAGAAACCATTTCATTGCTAAGGGTAATTGTCAGAATTCGATACTATAGTATCCAAACTCTTTTTATCTGATTGCATGAAAACAAACAGTTTGCTACATGGCGACATGACTTACTTCGCCCTGTCATCAAAAGTATCTCGCTTGTCTACCCAAACAGTTTAAATAACCTAAATGTACAAATATGCGTTTATGTTGGATTACATAGACTAATTCAATGACTTCTCTACTTAATTCACTCTTCCTGAAAATATTTGCTTTCAGTGTATCAAAGGGCTATGATTTCTCTAGGTCGGGGACTTTCAGAAATTGTGTTACTTTGCATTTATCGGTTTAATTAGCTTAAATGAAAATTCTGAGTGTGATATCCCCTCCCCNCCCCCCCCCCCCCCCCCCCCCCCTACCCACACCATCCCTTTAGATAAAGTGATCTGAATATGATGAATTGACCCCCTCCCTCCTCTGTCATTTAGTCTGTCCACATAAGTCGGACTTCTGAACTTATAATTAACACAATTAAGACGTGTTCTCCTTGTGTTATCTTTGTGCACTGTTCCCGCTATGACATAAATGGTCCCCTAGACGTGGCCTAAGTACTTTTCTAATAAGCCCGCATGAATTGCCTTAATTCCTAAGATTAATCCTTTGTCTCGGGTACATCACGAGTGAAATTTATCGATATACAAGCTATATTTTTCCTATCGAAATTAATATGATGTTTTAAGCCATTTTCTTCTAAGCAAAACATCAACGAATTGCGAAAGCTTCCAACTAATCCACCATTAGCTCATTATTGCTCAATAGCGGTTTATAATGAGAGGCCCAGTCGTTTTGACTAGTAAGCTTCTTTAAATTATATTTAATTCAAGACACTGTTTGATCTTATCCCTCTCCAAATTGCGTCTTCAGCTATTCCCCTCACTTGAGGTGACGTTTGATTGATTCCAGTCCCTAAGCATAGCATGAGATGGCTTGAGCACACATGCACACGTGTCAGTGTCGAAATCGATCACAAGCTTCGCCTTCACTCCAGCGCATGCACTTTTGTGAGGCCGTAAAAATGAATAATCGCATTTTTAAATGAAGCTACTTCCTTATCATCGAGTTAATTTACGTCGATTTGTTAGCTGCATAGTGGGTTCTATAAAGTTAATTATTCATTTGACATGCTATAATTCGATATTTATTGTTAAAGTTGAGTATTAGTTAGTAGCTTTTAATGAATGAGCGGCTGGATTAGAAGTAATTCTTCGTGAAATGTTTCTTATTCCTGCCTAAATCTTTCCAATTATCTGCCTTGCACAGTAAATTTTCAGGTTGGCATAATAGTGAGGACATTCTGTGTCACCCAGAGAAATCAAGATGTACCAGTGGCTGAAGGTCTTGATTGGGCCCTATCATGTGAGCAACGCTGGAAGGAGTAGGTTCGAAGTTTTTTAAATTTTTGTTCACAGATTCCTTTCATAAAATTATATCACCCCCCTCTCCTCCTCGTTTTTGCACTATTTAAGAGGAGAAAAGATTGTGATGCTTTTGTGCTAACTATGGATAGGTAATGGAGTTACGTGTGTGATTAAATTTTCGCACATACTTTTCGAAATATTTGGCCACGTCACTGTTAACTATTACCTAACTGTCGACTTGATAGCGACTCATGATTTTCTTTTAGTTTGTGCTTTATTCATAGAAATATTACTGATATACAAAAGGTGACCTTATTTTGAACAACTTCTTAAACCATTCTATACCATATTTTGAATTATCTTGAGTTTTGTGGTTTTTTCATTGGCCCTCTTTTTGAGGGGAATTTGATTCGGAGTCCTATACTAATTTATGGTACTTCTGCTTTTTGGTCACGGAACTTAATTTAAACATTTTTTAAAATTCACAATTTTGATATCTTCAAATAGGGAGTTGGTTTTCAATGGCCCTGCATATTTACGCACTGCCTCTACTCGTTTTGAAGCTAGGTGGGGTTAATAGGAGTTGAAGTAGCTGGTGGATAGTTCGGTTGCACATATTTTGGCTTACGGAGAATTTCGACATGCTTTAGTGCACAACATAACAGTTTTTTTTAAATGGAATGCTTTATGATATGAATCATTAGCCCAAATCGTTTCAGGCGGATCATAATCATTTGAAGTCAACTGTCGAGTTATAGACTTTTTGCCTTATGAGTATACGTTGTCCAGGGTGCACCACGTGGAGGTGAGTCCATTGCACACACCCCTTCAAGACAATAGAGAGTCATCAAGAATTCAAGCCGACTAATTTGTATACCGTAGGATCATTGCCTGAGTGGGTTAGGCAATCATTAACTTTGATCAACCTCATGCTATGACACGATTCCACAAAAAATGTGGAGAGAAATTTGATCAGGTAGAAGTTCTGCGCGGTCACTTGAATGGGAAAGTCTGACACATTTCAACAAGAGTTTAAGATAATTTTTAGTCTTACCGTTATTTTTTCATGCCAAGTTCAATGTGACTCTCTACAAAAGTAGCAGAATGATGATAAATTATCCATATTACTCATAACAAGGCAAAATAATGATAAAATATTTTGTCGCTATGTCAACTAAACACACAAAATGACAAAATAGTAAAAAATTTTTTTCAAATGGCAGGCTTTATGATATTTATCATTAGCCCCGTAGTAAAAAAATTAAGGAGTGGCAAGAGATATCAAGAGTTACACTTTCAATTCTGGCGGCATTGAGTACCCTTGATTCACTTGTTGAGTAAAATCAAATACTTCAAAGCTAAATTGTCATGACTGGATGCACAAGGGGTTTAGGTGTGTTCTTATTCCAACTATTCAGAGTTTATTGGCCGATCTATTTGATTGGATGGTTGGTTGTGCATCTTTGTTACTTAGCCGTTGGGTAAATTTGGCCAATTTAAAGGGCATTTAATTTATTGAGCTCACTTTGAGTGCTTACAGGTTATGGAACTCTACTAGCTTAGAATTGTTAGCTATCTCATCTCTGCTGTCATAAAACTGTAGTCTGGGAAGTGTCAGGAAAGACTATTTGACTTCTCAACCATTTGAGGCAAGAAATGAATTGAAGCGTCAGTATTTACCATCCTGATTAAAAACACCAACCCATGGGATGATCCTTGACATCGCTCTCAACAATTTTTACACCTTTCTTATACCACCTAGTGGACTCTCTGTTGACCAATTTAAGTTGTGCTGCACAAGTTTTCAATGAAGAGTTTTTGTTAACTGTGGCTAGTAATAATGCCTTACATTTCGTCTTGTGATATTTGGCTAACCGTTTTCATGATTCTTTCACCCTTTCACTTATGCCAAGATCTGCAACATAATTATTAATATATTTAGTGACTACAAGAATCAATGTATTGGATGGAAAGGCATGACACATCCTTTACTACTTATGCAGCAATTTACGAACTTCCATTCAGTTCCTTTTCATGGTCTGATATATCACTTGTTTCATTTATATTACCCTATATATATAATATATCACACTACAGGTAAATCACTCTTGGATTCCAGCGTGTTCCTGGATTTGTTTTTCATCGATTTTTTGATACCTTGAGTTTTTAATTTCCCACTCTTTTGCGTTTCTTATTTCAGACGCCTTTGGAAGCGAGACCAACGATGAAGAAATGACGTCAGGAAATGGTGATCATGACAGTGATAGCTCTCAAGGTTCATTCCCAGGTGAAGGTCTCCCACCTGAGCAATTTAAATTCTTCGATGAGCCCTTCAGCAACACCTGGAAAAGTGTGCAGCTGTCCCTCGTTCAACAACCTGAACTACAGCACAGAGCACGATATCTTACGGAGGGTAGTCGCGGACCTATAAAGAACCGAAGTTACGACGGATACCCGACGATTCTGGTAAAAGGACAAAGTCCAAATTGTCATTGTTGTTGTTGTCGGATAGTTGCCAGTCCACTTTGCCAAATGAGAAAATCAAAGTGCATTTCATAAAAACCCGAATGATTATACGAGCTAGTAGGGCATTCAATTCGGTTTGTATAAACTTTCCTCCCTATGGTGCACAATGAGTTTAGATAAGACCTGGGTGAACGAAGTCGGGAAGGCAGATGGAGTCCACATTCAGGATAGTTGAAGATGGTTGGAAGTTGATTGACGATGACTCTGATTCCTCATCTACAAAGAATGACATCTAACTCTGTCGTTCTTTAGCACTGCCTTCAAAATTTGACATGGAGCAGGGCCGAAATCGGCTGTTTGTTGCCTTAAGGGAATGAAATCGATTTACCAGCTATTATGTGGACAAACCGTATAATTATATTGTAGGTTTCTTTACCCTTTAGTTGACATGATTTCCATGGGAAAGATGTAAATATTAATCAAAGTGCAAAAGAGAAATTCTATAAGCTTTAAAGATCTTACCGGTATCTTATTAGTTTTTACCTTTAATGCTCAAAATCGGATATTATTAACAGGGCTTATAATGCACCTTTCGGGTTTAGTTCAGAGTTCATAAGGGGGGGGGGGGGTTAGAGGAGGGGAAACGACAACTTTGCATAAATTGTCAAAAGTCTGTAATCTTGTCTGCTATTATAAAGAATCCTATTTTAGGGGTCGCTTTTATTGCCATTTACAGATGCAGGGATGGTCGGGTTCAGCGATGTTGCACGTCTTTGTAGCATCCGAGTCTGATGATCCAAATCTACACCTCTTCTACCAAGTGTGTCTCGTATCTACAAAGAGCAATCGGGGATGCTGTGAAATTGTCTTTGGTTTCACTACAGTCGTTCAAATGCCCTTCACACCCAATACTAACAACCGAGTCATGAGGTGGGTTAACACTACTTACTAACACTTCATCGGCCCACTTGTTGAAAATGCTCCATTTACTAGCTAAAGTTTGCACATTTCAATTTTAATTAATATTAAACCATCAATATTAACAATAATTGCATACTTCCAAAAGAGAAATATACATCTTCCAATAGAAGTGAGTCATTACGATTCAATACCAGTGCAGCTATCTAGAGATGGGCAAATGAGATCTAGAAACACTCACAGGTCTGCCATAACTATATAGTCATGGAACGTACAAGACAGGCACATTGCTATGTTTATAGAAACTACGATTCAAATGGGTCTATCTTTAAAGCGCGTGGTTTTAAGCACATATGAGTTTGATTACTGCATAAGTTTAACTATAGGCATTAAATAAGGCGATTTTGATGTTCGACTACACTGTTGAGTGCGCATCTTGGTTGTTGTTGCCTGCTGAAAAAACTACAAATTATTATGTTGTTTCTTTGTTAACTCGAGGCTTTACCATAGAGAAATGCAGAGATTATAGTAGAAGTGTGTAATTGGAAGTTAGATTAACTGAGTGTACAATAAACCAACGAGAACGTTGCTACTGAAGTATTGAAAGTAGGCAAAAAGATAGCAATCCCGCCAGTCAGGAAGCAGAACTGAGCAATGAACTTCAAAATCTAGGCTCCCCTATCCCATGTTGCTTTGAAGGCAGAGGTAATCTCCAAACTGTTAATCTTAAATCCGTTCATTTTTATCGATTCATTTGTCATCATATTGCTCTTTAACTGTCTGGAACAATTGGTATGCCAATTTCATATCGTACCAATACATGAATATATGAAAACACAGAATTCCAACTGTGCCATGAAATATTATCTAAATGAACTACGGATTAAGACAATACCGACTCAAAAGTCCAAACCAAATTTTCGTCATTTAATAAAAAGATCATTATGTAAAAATGACCGTTTGTACATATTTACATATATAGCCGATTATGTGAATTGAAAAGAGGTCTTTGAGCTCTTTTATGTGGATAACATATCATATCCTATTTATTACCAGATTTTTTAAATCCAATATAGTCGGCATGCAATTGTTGAAGGAGGCAATCTAGAGTACCTATTGAACCACCTCCTCCCCTTCTAATGTCCTCTAATCTTGGTCACACAACTAAGAAGAGGAAATTGAGAGTTCACTTGATGGATAAATCAGACTATTGAAGGGGAGATTATGTTAATATGTAAGGAGTTGAAGTGGTTTTATGGAGTGGATATAAATGCGCTTAGAGTGAAGAAAACCTGGTTGAATCAGTCCTCTGCAGATAATCGATCTGTCAGGTTAAACTAGCTTAGCGCGTTAGACAAGTCGAATTCTTTTAAGCTTGGTTACAACCTTTTAAAAAGACTCCTCTTACAGACCTATTAACATTTTATTTTTTTCGTTTAAGTGTCGACTCCGTTGGTTTAGTGAAGCTGCGTAATTCTGATGTTGAGCGTCGTTGTGCCGCTGTGGTGGAAGAGAGCAAACGAAAGAGAGATCGGAAGCAAGAAGAGAAGATAAGTTGTCGCTCCCGCATGTCATCGTCTCCAACTCAAGGCACGCCTGTTTCCTCTACTTCCGCCTCTATCTGTGAGGAAGTGGGACGTAGATCATTGAAGCCTAAATCCAGCTCCACAAGACTTGTTTACCGCGTGCTTCTTCTTTCACCAGAAAATACTGTGGAAGGTGTTGTCCAGGTGGTTAGCGATCCTATACGCTGCAGTAGGTCCCTATGAATAATGATTATAATAATATGTCCCTTGTATTATTTGACCAAGTGAACAGGCTTCAAATATAAGTTTTACTAAGTGGTATAAATACTTGGTCAATGGGTATGAAGATATTCATTTGGACTTCAAAATATCCTTTGAGGGCACGTTAATTGAGTATATTGTCAATTTTGAGCATGACGTTTAGTGGCTTGTGATATTTCAATAACCCTTACATTTCACTAGACTTCAAAAATCAAAATTTGATACCAGTTTTGCTCTCTCCTATTTATAAGTCTGTGCGACCTTGCCCTCTTTCGCGCACCTACAGACTCATACCTAATTACGTACAGACAAAGACCACTAAATCGTGTATTCCCTTTAAGTGAACTTTGCTTTGTTCTTACAATACCATTACACTCATCTTATTCACACGTCTTCTTCTCCAACTCTTCTTCCCTTTCAATTAAAATGGAAAAAGAATAAGAAAAACTCAATATACTGCATATAAAAACCTAGGGTTTAATGAAAATTAATTATGATGTGTTATTATTGATGCATTAATTAAGCTGTCACATATTCGTCATTTTTGCAGCACAAATTGTTGGAGGCCCGGAGATAACTCGTATGTCAATTAAAAAGGGCGATGCTCACAGTCGACCAGAACTCTTCATAATTGGCAAGAATTTCGTTCGTGGAACACGTGTAATCTTCAGACAAATGGCCAACGACTCAAGCGATGACGTGCGATGGGAAATGGATGCTGAAATCGAGGCTCCCTACTTCACACAAGTAATAAGTTACTTAAATGAATTTCAGTAGACTCTAGAAATATTAACTGACCAAACTCTACTTGACAATTTAGACACATCTGGTTTGCAGAGTGCCTGAATATACCGGACCTTCTTTGCCTCTTACAGCACCACTTCGTGTTAATGTTTGCATTCAAACTCCAACTAGAGTTGGTCGACCGGAACAATTCACCTACCTACCTAGTAAGTAGGCATTACCAATCTTTGCCCACTTCTCTAACCTCTTTAAACTAAATCCTCCTATTGTACCATTCCTTTAGCACTTTCTATTCAAGGACCACCGATAATTAAAAAGATATCGCAGAGAGAGGTCTCACTGCAAGGTATGGTGGATATGTTCGTGCTAGGCTCAAACTTCTCATCCAATTGTCGGGTATTTATTCGCCAAGTTACCGAGGTGGGTGGTGTTTTCGGGGCACCTGCTACTTACGCTGAGACACCAAGTGTGATATGGCAACGCGAAGCTCAGGTTAAAACGGATGAACTAACTCAAGTGAGTTTTTTCAGAAGTTCATATCTCAGCTCATTTGAAATAGAAGCATAAGTCAGCTTGCCATATGATACTCCTTTATTGAGTCAACATAATTTAAGACGTTTTTCAACCTGACCTAAGCAGAACCTTTGATAAGGGGTCCTTCAAGTGCACTCTTTTGTATAGGAAAATTAGCTTAATAGAAATAACTTTCTAACCGAATGAAAAAAATAAATTGCTTAAGATACTACTATTTCTTGCACATATTACTTAGAGTCAAACCCTGAAAGAATTTAATGATTGGCTTAAAGGCTACCTGGATGGAACAGCCTTTCCTTGAATATAAAGCCAAGAAATCAATGAGGATTCTGATGTACTGGAGAATTGTTTGGGAAGAAGAGAAAGCAGGAAACAGGAGAGCTGTAGAAATCAGTGCATGAATTTAAGAAATTGTGCAGTAGGATAAAAACAAGTCATACTTAGAGTTGGCTTGTGTAATCTACTTTGGGTGTCCCAATGTGATTTTTAGAACAAGCAGACATTTTAATTACACACCCATCTCCATTAGTGGAAAGATCTTTAACAATAGCCAGTGTTGAGAACTTCGCATTTGACAATCGCTTTCTTGCTTAGCAAATACTCAAATCCCACCATAGCTAACAGCACAAATAATTCTGTCCGATTGCTCCCCAAAGAAGATTTGTCGCCACAGCTTTGATACGGTTTGAACACTTGAAATGGCATTCTGCTGTGCTGTTCCATTCATTCGTGTTTTTGGATGATAACAATGGTAGTTGGTCACTTGAACTCCTTGTTAGTCATTGGGTCTGAGGAACAGTTGTCTAGTTGATAGCGTCTTTCTTTCATTCTCATTCATTACTTTCTCTTGTATTTCATTGACGGGGAATTTATGCTGTTAGAGACAAGCATGAGCAGTTATTCCAAGGACTTCTTTAGGATCTTGATCTATCTCCCCTAAATGTAACTTTTGCTAGCTTTCTTCCTAGTTCTCTTTAGAAACCATACAATCAGCAGAAGTTTAAGAGAAAAGAACGAGGAAAAAGGGAATATTATTAGCTTTTTCCTGTCATTTTAGGACTATCTGGTATGCCGAGTGCCCCCCTACGATGGACAGTCGTTAGAAGCGCGAACTCCTTCCCTCCCGGTTCAAATCATCGTTGAAGGTCCAGGAGGCACCAGTGCTCCGGAAACCTTCTACTATGTGCAATGTCAGTTGACAGCCTAGTCCTCAAAACTAACTTCCTTTTCCTTGTGGTCACCTCAGAGTAGAACCTCCTTGGCCTTTGAAAAGCGTTTATTATATATGACATTTTTGAAATTAACCTAGGACGGGTTCAATTATCTGCCTCTGTTTTTGAGTTCTAGTTAAGGGAATTACCATTCGTTCTGAAACATCAGTCGTACTCCATATCTACGATGTGGAAAGTTAAAACCGGCTTTTGGAGTGACAGTAAAACGTACTGATTGGACCTGTCTATTTAGGAAGTGGTAGAAATCACTAGCTTGATCCTTGTGACACTATGATACTGTCTCAACAATAGATGATTATTGAGAAACGGGTTCGAAAATGGGTTTTGAAAGCACTAATGTCATGTTAAAAATAAGTGATTGTTGGTACTAGATGTGCTTCTAACTGGAGTGCAAATGTGCGAAAACAAAAGGTGCGGAAGTTGGATTGATTACTTATAAGGTAACTAATTACTTAGTTCGGCAAACTAAACATTCGATGGGCGAAACAAACAAATACGCAACAGAACAGACCCGCAATAGAGAACCCTAGAGTTTCGTTACCCCAACTATAACCACAAGTGAAATTTCAAGCCTTATAAAAGGTAACCCCTGTTTTCCTTTTTACAGGATGCCTAACCAGGAACTACCAAACGGCAACGAGACTTTAGACACCTGTACATGCTGCAAACCCCTAACATTATTTTCTTGATTGACACTCACAAGTCCAACCCCTTCTACCTCTCTGCCTTTGAGTTATTTTATACTTATCTCTGATGTATTACTTCTCAATTTATGAAACGCTAACAAAAGGATGACTGGCGGAAAAACACTGTATATTTCCATTTTTATCAGAGAGAAGAAAATACACGAAAAGACGCTACTCTTGCCACATTTCATAACATCACGCCTACTTTCATGAAATCAGTATAACGATAAATTTAGCATTCAGAAATATCGTATATTGTGGTTAAAGGAGACAGGTTTAAACGTAATGTACAAATACACAAAATGGTTTGGGGAAGGTAGCCAAAATCTTCTACATTGATTGACGACCTCTTCCAAAGGGTCTATTGCCACCTGGTCGCTGGAAACGATTGTTAGGACCGCCACGGCCATCACCAAAGCCACCGCCGCCACGGCCACCACCAAACCCACCGCCGCCACGGCCACCACCAAAACCACTGCCGCCACGGCCTCCACGACCTCCTCTGAAACCTCTACCACCGCCACCCCTTCCATTGAATCCACCTGGGCCTCCACGGCCTGGTGTTCCACCACGTCCGCCGCCGCGACCACCTCTACCTGCTCCGCCACCACGTTTACCTAAACATAATAAAATTAAAATTAGTTTTTTTGAACCTACTGAAGTCAGCAAAGTGGATTGGTGCTATTTATAAACTGCTTTTGAATTCATGCATACAGAGCTACAACTTAACCCACACTATAACAAAATAGTTAGGATAAAATTTTTGACCAAAAAAACTTTGGTAAAAAACAGCAAAGTATCTGGGTAAGATACAATAATTTGATCTCAGTTTCCAGGGTCTACGCTATAGTCGTTTATAATCTACAAAAAGAATGTCAACTAATTGACAACTCATGAATATTCAAAAAATTCTAGGAGGTACTTAGACACAGAATTTTAGCGTACGATATAAATGATTAATGAAGATAAAAACGAAAAGAGAAGCATAATAATGTGCCTAGAAAAAATGTTAACACTTGAAACTGAACACGTTAAAATCTAACGTCTCTGCGCCTATATATTCCATCACACTATTCTTAAAGGCAAGAAACTGAAGAGAAGAAAATTGAATACGAGAAGGTAGTTGAGTTATAGGAATTTTGACAACCACTGTAATTGGCAGATGAGTACGTACCAATGATGTCAGTCTTAATTTAATAAAATGATAAATTTTAAGAGAGCGAAATCGAATGAAAACCCGTAATAGGGATCTAGGTTGAAATCGCTACAATCGATCAGTGTTGCATAGGCAATTTAAAAGAAAGCTAATTCTCTTCACCATACAACACTTTTACAGTAGCAATTAATACAGCTAAGCAATCTAATTGAAGGAAAAGCTTAAATATTTAAAGAGTATCATGAAAAATTGTCAACTGAATCCCAATAAACAACTTAAAGTATTGGCAAACTGCAAATATAATTTTACGAAAACGACAAATTAAACAAAACGAAATTACTAAAATATGCAAACTATCCGCCTTAATAAAAAAGGGATCACTTAGAATATTGACAAAACAAAAATTTATCAAACAAACCTGCTGGTGTTTCACTATTTGCGATCCTTGAAGCAGGAAGAAGCTTTCGAGCATCGATAAATATCTAGAGAAGAGAATCAATTAGAGGAAAAGAAAACAAGTTACTTTTTGACCTATAGTAAATGACTCAGGGGTAAGGTTCTCAAGAGGTAATACAGAGAAATAGGGAGAATCAACTCGACCAAGAACGTCATCGACTTTGCCTATTTCAGTATGTTTTTCATTGTATACAGGGGCATTAAAGTAGGGAATATCCTTATGTGTTAATTTGCAAACAACTTCTTTTGGACATTTTATTGCTACATAACCAATCTCGGCATATTCCTCTGGAGGTCCGTAATCTTGACGTTTGAAACCACCACGACCTCCACCACCATTTCCTCTGGACGACCTTCCGTTAAAACGCATATTCATCAAAGCGCGTGCTATAAGTTAAAACAGCGACAGAAAAGCAGACACCCAGAGCGTGACTGAGAATATAAAATGCGCACAAGACTGTTAAAAAGATTAAACAAGGAAACAAATTTGAAAGTAAAACACAAAAGTTAAAGTAAAATTATGAATTTTATAACTGAATTCATTGATTTTGCATAAGCATATTTTAAATTTTTTAGTCTGTTTTTCGCATACATCCATAATTTAAAATAACTTATATCGAATTCCCTCTATCCTGATTATTGTTTTACTTCAAAATAATTATCCGTAGGAATTTTAATCAGCAATGGTAATTGTTGACTTTTAATTTATGTACTTTTTGTTTTATGATTATTAGGTCCATGTATTTAATAGATTAGTAACTTTTTTGCCATGAAACAGTACATTGTAACGCTATTTTTTCAAATAAGGTATAATATTTCAATATGATAAGCTCCCCTGAAAATCGTTTTACAGTTAAAGTGGAATATACTATTTGATCACCAAATATTTAAACAAATGTGTTGTACACTATTAATGCGAGACAACGTTAAAGTAATATGTTGTAGATAAGTAAATATTTCCGTAATTTAAAGATCAACCAATTAATTAATACGTTCTGATGGTAAGAGTACTATTGCTAAATAAATACTCCCATTTAAAAAGAATTCGATTTCAATGGCATTCCTGCTGTCAATAAAGAAATTAAATGCTAGTCTATAACAGATTTCTATCAGCTAAGAAAAAAGTCAATTATTCTATATCGTTTTCCTGATGGTCAGAGTAATTTGGATAGAGGCTAAATGCCATCGAAATGGGGATTTTTCATAATTTATCGTGAAACTAATCAGGTGCATGAGCATTTATTAAGATGCTGGAGCATTTGCTTCTCCTTTCGGTTGTTAGTTAAGGTTTTTAGAGACAATTATGAGATTCTAACTGAAACTGGCAATTTGATTTGAACAGATTAAAAATTTTTTTGAAGAGGTTTAACGCTTTTCGTTGGCATCAAATTCGATCTCCAACCGTTGAGCTAGATCTATTTTCACTGAACATATATTCATCTGCCTTACTTATAATCAATACATGTATAATTTTAACAATTAATATTTTTGATATCAATGGATATCGACCTTTAAAAAAGTAAAACTGTTTCTCAAGCAGGAACAAATCGCAGCAATAACCCGCAAAATACTTAACTATAATAGGACCATATACTTCCAAAATTTTCTCTTTCAGTCATATATAATTTCTGAGACCTACTTATCTCGAACTCATGATGGAGCTCGAAGAGATCGATTCTGTTGTAAACTACAGTTCATAGTTAAAAGAATCATCGTGTTTACAAAAGTGATTTTCTTTAATATGAGTGGAAAGAAGTTAGGAGATCCTTTGTTTTGTTCTGCTAAAGTTCCATTTTTTCATCAACGAAATCTGTAGCTATTTCCATCGAACACACACACGCACATAGAATGGCAACGTAATGGTAATTTGCGCATCCACCTCACTTCGTGGATCCTCTGGTTGTTTGTTAAATTCATTTTGGTCAGCGCAACTAATTATCAGCACTTTAGCTATTTTTAATTTAGGATCCGAAAAGACCTAAAACAGATAACTTTTTATGGTAATTTGGGAATATGTACAGAGTAAACATAACATAAATTTCCCAGCTTTATATCAGCTAAACAAAGTAATCAAAGCTTTATTGTCTCGATCCATTTTATGTTAAGAATGAATAAGAAGACCTAATAAAATTACATAGAAATGTCTTTCCAGCTTTTATAAATAGCTAGTCAAGGCGTAATAACTCCCTTTTAAAAGAAGTTGAAACAGATCATTATAGCACACGTAAGTGCGACGTTAGTATTAGTTCCAAATCATTACTAGGCCAGAAAATTTCACGGTCAGGTAAACCGACAATCATAGATTTGTTAGTAATATACCCTTTGTTCAATATTGTTCTCACGAGTTTGTTCGTCTCAGTTTACGAAGAAGATTTGTAGCAGTAAGAAAGAAATACCTTTTAATTCGTTATGGCGGTAGAATAAAGATACCCTCCCTGTCTTAAGCTTATAATATAAATTTTCAAGCTAATAATTATCCACTGAATCGGAAGTCAACTACGGGATCTGAATTGCTCTTTTTGGAGAAAAGCTGTCTTAAGTTATGCCTATCTGGACATCATCAAAAAACAAATGACTGTATTTATAAATATTAGGTTGGCAACTAAGTCATTGTGGATTTCAAATAAGAAGGCAAATTCGGATTTTTGTTTAAAAATATAACTTTATTCAATTAGATATTGGCCCTTCTTGTCGATGAACTTTTTCCATCGTTCTGGCAGAGTAAAAATTCCCCGTTCGTAAAATGTCTGGTCTTTGCTATTAAAAACTGAATTAGGTGTGATCGACATCATCCGCGTTGGTAAAAATTTTACCATTTAAAGAGTTTTGCATGGAACGAAACAAATGGTAATCCGAAGGCGCAAGGTCAGGGCTATATGGTGGGTGTGACAAAACATCCCAACCCAGTTCCAATAATTTTTGCCGAGTAACCAAAGATGTGTGGGGCCTTGGGTTATCATGATGGAAAACAACACCCTTCCGATTTGATAATGCCGGCCGCTTATCTTCAATTGCATCCTTCAGTTTTTCAGTTGTTCAACATAAACATTTGAATTTATCGTTTGATTCTGCGGCATGAGTTCAAAATACAAAATTCCTTTGTGATCCCACCAGACTGACAGCATAATCTTTTTTTGGTGAATCTCTGCTATTGATACTGTTTGGGCTGGTTGATCTTGCTTCACCCATGATCTCTTGCGAGTAACATTGTTATAAACTATCCACTTTTCGTCGCCAGTAACTAGGTTCTTCCTCGGAAATGGATCATTCTCATTGCGTTTCAGTAGCGGCGAATCACAGATGCTAATCCGTTGCGTCAAATGAATTTCCTTTAACTGGTGAGGGATCCAATCAAGTTTCTTGACATAACCAAGGGATTTTCATTTTTTTTTCAATGCATGTATGCGACACATTGAGCTTCTCTGCAATATCTCGTGTTGTGCTGTGACGATTTGAATCGATAATGGCCTTGATATGGGTTTCATCCACTTCGGCTGGGCGGCCAGATCGTTGTGAATTTTTCAGTGAAAAATCACCGGAACGAAATCTTTCAAACCAATTTCGACACTGCCATTCTTTTAAGGCTTCATCTCCATATACGGCACATAACTTCTTTTGTGCTTGCGATGCGTTCTTGCCTTTTCGGAAGTAATACAATAAAATGTGTCGGAAGTGCACGTCCTGTTCTTTCATTTTTAAATTGAGATAAAAACAAAATTAAAAAACAAAAAAAAAATTTTTACTAATTAACCTAGAAGCCCATACAGTAAGAAAAAAATATAGGTTAGATGCTCTGGCCACGTTAACAAAACAAAAGAAAGTATAGAGTGAATCTGTCAACAAAAACGACAATGACTTCGTTGCCCTCCCAATATAAATAATAGATTAACCTTTAAAGAAATAGTGATTTGCAGCGTAGGAAGGATCGTGTGAGGTAAATGGATAAAAGTAAACGCAAAAATAGTCGTATATAGTCTGTTCTAATTTGAGTTCCAGTCTAAATATACAAAATATCCAGTAAAATTTTTTTAGATACGAATTGTTAACTGTTATTAAAGCGCACAAGTGATGCAAAATGTTCATATGTAAGGATGGCGGCAATTCTCAGGACCGGATATGTAGTTTCATTAAATTTTATTACTTATATATATGCTCATGACTGAATCTTTACTTTTACTGTAACAACAATTCCATTTAAATTATATCGAATAAGTAAATAGCTATAAGTTAATGTTACATGCATAACGAAAATGTAATAGTAATTTTGTTTTGCTTTGTCAATCAACGCGCATGGTCTTTGATTGTAGTTGGTATCCTGGTTTGATTTCTTTCCCTCATCGCTACTGCTCTATTAGTAATTTTGTGAGAATTACTTTGTTTATTGAATGAGTATACTTCGGATCGCTTAGTAGTATTTTTCTTGATCATATTGTGTCAAACTATAAGTTTATTCTATTGAATTTTTCTAGGTGAAACCCGCTTCTCTGTTCAACATACAATAGTGGATATAAAACATGCCCACTACTGGTAAGAGTGTTCCAAAAGGCCTTGTGTCGAAAGCCTCTGGTTCTCAAGTGTCCCATTCTCCTGTTCGTCGTCCTCAACGCGTGCCTAAGGCATGCGAACAGACAAAGACCGAAGCTGATCCATTTCTACGTCCTCTCGGTCGCTCTGCTCCCCGAGCTAAACCCCTCTACAAATCATCCAGCTGCCATGATATCAAGTCTTCTCGTTCCAATTCGAATTCTTCAGTGGGTTCTCGTGATTCAAGTAAGGAATCTCGGCCGAAAAGGGCAAATGCAGTTCGAAAGCCATCTTCCACTGTTGCTCTCCCAGCTGCTGTTCTTCGAGAATCAAATAACTCTTCTCTTTACATGACCACGTCAAGCTCTGTTAGCGGTGACCGCATCTACATCAACTCAGATCTCCTTTCGCGTGTTGAGAAAGAGAAGAAACAATATGAATCTCGTATCTCTGAGCTCACTCAACTTACAGAGTCTCGCAAGACTGAGATTGAGAGACTTAACGTTGAAGTAAAAAATCTCAAGGAAGCTAAAGAACGAGCAGAGTTTCTTATCCAACGACATAGTTTAAAGCGCAAGGCTGGTGATGATATCACTACAAATGTGGATTCTTTTTGTTCTTCCTGTCAACGTCCACTTTTTGAAGAGAGTTCGCTATCTACTACTGTCGTCCCAGCCACAAGTACTACCCCTGACCAGCAAAGCGTTGCTTCCGGTGTCTCTGGTACACCCGCTACAACAGTCGTCGAACAGTCAACTTTCAAAAAGCCCACTGTGACTAGTCTGGAAGATATTATCCACGAAATGGAAGAGGTAAACTACTCCACCACTGAGGAGCTAGAAGCGACTATGAATGAGTTGCGTGAGATGCAGCGTACCCTTGATGGTACTCAAGTGGAAAATCGCACTCTGGCTTCCGACCGTGCAATCTTACTGGAGTCACTTTGCACTCAGACTGCCAAATTGGAACATAGTCGTCTGCAGATTGATCAATTGAAACACCTCCTTATCACCAACCCGTCTGCTGATTCGAGAGAAGCGCATTACTTGGAACTTTTTAATTCAATAGAATCTGAGAAGCAAATCCTCTTAACCCAAAACAATGATCTCGCGCAGAGATGCGAGTCTCTTGATGTGGAGTGCAGACAACTCACTGAGAAGATGGAGACAATGAGTGCTGAGATGGAGCAACTTAAAGCTGATGTTACTGCTGTTCTCTACCCGAGTGTTATGTATTTGAAGGGAGAACTCTCTGTTGAAGACCTCAACTCCAAGATCGAATGTCTAACCCGTCATGTAGCACTTTGGCAGGAGAGATACGAGACAGAACTGGCGGAACATGAACGTGAAGTCACTGAATTCAAGCTCTACGAGAGAGACCTACTCAAGGCGGTTCAAGTTTCAGATAGCATCAGGCATGAATCAGAAGGTCAGGTCGCTCAGTACAAGATGAAACTGCATGAATTGAAGAACCAGGTAAGTAAATCTCCTTTACTTTTTTAAATTTGTGTACTTAAACTTTGGTCCCTTTTCTTTGGCTCTAAATGCGTTGTTTTTTTACTGGCGTTTTTTTTCATAGTTTCTGCGGCGTATTTTCAGCATTTGCCTCGAGACTTAAATTTTTCTGGTTCTAAGTTTTTTAGCGAATTTTAGGACCATTTTATTCTTTTATAGCATGTTCGATTCAACTTATCCTATGCAGATTAGTGGAGAGGCTTTCACAGTGTTTTCCACATGCACTAAATGCTAATGCACTGCTTCTTCGCTTGTACATAAGCTATTACGTCAAGTGCCCACAAAATTATGCGTTTATGTTTATTGGTGAATGCGAATTCGCTCACTCTTCATTGACATTAGATTAGGTAGGCCCTTAGTTCATCGATTTCAAATCCATTGTCCTATGCATCTACAACGAACGGCTAATATGTTTATATATGTACAGGTTGTGCATATATGTGTGTATTTTTACGCAAGCAGCAAAGTGGTGAAGGGCTTTTTGCTGCTTCGACTTTGCGCAATCTCGCTATGTAAGGACACATGAATGGCTCTGCAGGGAAATACACAAGCATGCAAAAGAAGGCCAGTCAGTTAGTCAGGTCTTATCAGGTCATTGGCTAGTTGCTAAGATGGATAATCTGTGGATGTTGGCTATAAAATGGTTAGACTTATCGGATAGTATCAGAAATGTTTTTTTATAATGCAAATCAGTATTTCTGCTTAGTTAGCTGAATAAATTAGTCTAAATTAGTTTCCTATTACACCCTCTACCATCTTTCTCGGCCCGTGAAGTTTGAACAGTAGGTGTTGTAGGATAAGCAGTGACTATCGCTAGTATATTACCAAAGCTTCAATTGATTTAGGGTGACATTAAAGAAGGAACTATACCGACATGGATAGGGTATATGTAAGTGGAGAGCTTAGTTGTCTGGAAAGCTTCGTAGTCTATCTGAGTCGTCATTTTTATAACTTCGTTCGGCCATCGCGCATCAGCATAGAGAGGAGAGAACACTGGTGTTGAGGTGTTTTGGAAGCCGAAAGCTTAGGAGGTTGAAGTTTGTGTGCTTGTTGTAGGAATGATTGGATAGACATGATGTGTGTGCGTACATAGCCATTTATGCAAACGGAACCGTGCTTAGATAATGTTCTTTGGGGGGGGGGGGGAGTTAGACATGAAACTACCACGAATGTCTCAAACCCGTAAGTGTGCATGGCGTTTGATTGGTGAGTATGCCTTAATACACCTAATTCAGACGTTGAAACGGTAGCGCGGACAGATAGCTTGAGTAGGCATTTGTATCGTTACAAATTTGAATTCGAGAAGTAAGAAGAGTTTCGGGAATATCAAAAATCGTTTATAGGGAACCACTGCATCGGTTTCCCTTCTACTTGGTCTAGATAGTTAAGAATTCATGTTCTACTGTTGTCGAGATTACCCGATTTTGGGTAAAATCGAAACAATCGTAAACTATCCTTTTATTTGAATGTCCCCACTTAGTTATTTGGGCCTGCTCGCCATTGTCAACTATTGAAAAGTGACGATGTTATCTACATGCCTTTTTCATGCTCTATATTTTAGGTGGAAAGAATCTCAGCTGAACTAGATACTGCTATTCGTGAGAAATCTCTTCTTCAAGATCAGCTCTCCAAGGTGATGGATACTTCTACTAAATCCACTCAATCAATTCCCTCTACCCAAGTTATTCTTCCATGCAGTTCTTCGGTTGAGAAACGTTCTGTCGGTGTCATGACTATACCAATGGAGACAAGTTCAACAGAGACTGCTTACATCCCTCCCCAAACTTCCAATGCTCAACCTGTCATTACAACCACCCAGATTCCTCAAGTAGTTTCCACTCCTCCCACACCGGCTGCTACTACTTTTCATCTTCCACGAACCTACATACAGAAACTTGGTCTTAGCACTTCCATATCGCCTGGCGGTCCCGTCAGCACGAGCTCTTCAACTGGCATCAGACGAGCTGGTCCAACTGTACAAAGCCTTATTCAGTCGATTGAGAATCAGGTTAAGGCCGTACAACATCAACAAAAGGCCAAAACCTCTTCTCCTTCTTCCGCAAAATCTGCCAAGATGGCAGATGCCGATGCCACTTCCCCACTGCTTCCACAACGTCGTTTGCATTCAGCTGGAAGTAGTCCAATCACCACCCCAGTTCGAAATATCTCCAAGTCTGTACGACATTCACTCATAGATGAACCTATTGTTGGCCAGTCAGCTCCTGGTGGACCCCCACATAATCCTACGTCACCTCCTTCCGGTGTTGCTGTTCCTAACAACCAGTCGACGAATTCTCCTACTCCTTTAACGAGGTATGTCTGCACCTTTTAAATTCCCACGTTTTCCTTAGTTTACGCGTTTCTTTGTCAAGCTCTCCTTTCATTAAATGAATGTTATGCTGAGGATGTGAGATAGCAAGAGTCCTTTTCGCTGTGAAAATTCACAGTTACGTTATATTGTATAAGGATAGCTAATTTCGATTATATGAGGCAATAAAAGTAGTCGATTTTGCGATTTCTGTAAGTTGTATAAAAGGCAAGTGTTAAAGCATCCCTTATCGAAATATCGCCTTAACTGGGTACATATGTAGCAGTTAATTAATAGCAGTTCATTAGCTGTCTTCTTGCTTCCCAGTATCTCTGGGTTTTCGTCGTTGTCTTTAGGGCTGGACACCGAATCAGGTGGGTCTTCTCCATTTCCTCCTGTAGGTTACATAGAGGGCACGTGGGTTGAGTGTATACTCCCAATCTGTGAAGGTGTTTTGCCAAGTAATCGTGTCCGGAACGTTGTCTAAACTCAGCAACGGCTTCGATTCTTGGTCAGTCGGCTATGTCGGAGAGTGCCACTGTCCACTGTTTCTCCTTTGTTTGAGCTTTAAGTACGTTGCACCTTGAGGTCTGGAATTCTCCTGATTAAGGTCTGCATTGTGTGGAAAGACCTCGGTCTCTCCTGATTAAGGTCTGCATTGTGTGGAAAGACCTCGGCCGGTCTATGCCTTGCAAAATTGTTGTCCCCTTCTTAGCAAGTGTGTCAGCAAGCTCATTGCCTTTAATACCACAGTGACCAGGAATCCACTGTTTTGTTTTTTTCTCTCAGCAGCTGATAGGGTTTTTTACATTAGTATATCTCGACTGTTTTGGGTGGCTCTCTATTTCCAATTGAGTTTATTGCTGACTGTGAGTCCGAAAGTATTATTGCTTTGGTGAATTTCGTATCCAGGCAGCATAATTGGCCTAGTGCTAACTTAATGGCCTCTATTTCTCCTTCGAAAGCGGATCTATTGTGTCCCGCTGTCCTCAGATAAAATAAGTTTACTTAGCAGGACATGTACGCACCTGCATAGGCAGTGCCTATCGAACCTTTTGTAAAGATGATTCATCTTTAGTCAGCTAGCTTCTTTTGTGTTTGTGTGGTGGCACATCAGCCACCATCGTTCATATGTCTTTTAATTCGTGCTTCCTCCGTCGTATTACCTTTGTTGCTGCAGCTACAGAAGAAGAGGAAGACTGCTGCTGGCAATGCTTATGAAGCTTGCCAACAACAGCCGGTTATGTGCACCTTTCGGGACATCGCGCAAGATGAGTCATCTTCCATCCTTCACGCATATGGTCACCTCGTGGACACATACTAGCTACCCCGCAGCTGATTATTCTGTGTGGTTGTTAGGTGGATTCCTTTGCTAGAAAAAGTTTCAATTTCCCCTGCGACACTTCATTAGAATGAGGACTACCAATTAGGTATTCGATATTTGGCCCCTAGATATACTTAACTTACATTTTGCAGCATAAATGTCATTGGCATTCATCATTTTGGATAAGTACAAGTTAGCACTGTTGATTCAGTAAACTGGGTTTACTGAAGTAGTTAAGTTTTTTGTTGTAACTGCATAATTTTCTTGATAAACAATTCTCATTTCAACGCGTTATAGATCAACGCCAAGCTTCGGAGTTACTCGTGATGACACATCTTCCCCTTCAAAAGAGTTGACGGTTCCTCATGTTGCCTCTTCCACAACACCTCGTCTTAAGCGCAATCTCACCATCCCCACAAACTCTGTCATTAACAAACCAACGGATAGCAATGTTGTCACTGCAAACGCAACCATTGCCGAAGCTGTTACCACGGTAATCTCAGCTGCAGCTGTTGATCCGAGCGTTGTCCCACCCCAATCTCCTTCTGGAGACTCAAATTCCCCCACGGAATCTATTCCTGCTGCTTGCCCTCCTCCCGTTGATCCTCTTGACCCCCTTCAAGAATTAGCCAAGCGTACCGGTGCTGCGTCCAAACGCAATGCTCTCCTCAAGTGGTGTCAACTTCGACTTGTGCGTTATCGGGCTGTGGATGTAACCAATTTTTCGTCTTCCTGGAATGATGGACTGGCATTGTGTGCTCTCCTTCACACCTATGTGCCTCAACTGGTTGCGGTGAATTGGGAGAAGGTTGCTAATGGAATGGATAAGAAGAAGAGGTTCGAAGTAAGTCTCAGCTTCTTACCTTATTATATTCTATTTGTATATTTCAATCTTAAATTTAGATGTTGATTTAATTTAAGATGGGTGTATTCGAATAGAGGCACTCACGTATTGTTTGTTTTGTAACTTAGCTTTAGTCATATGCAATATTCCTTCCGAATTAGAGTTCAATTGATGTCGATTATATAGTTACCTCGTTTGAATGTCAAGTGATTGCAAATAAACCAAGGCAGTATGGTGATGATTTTATACGATCACTTCACAAGTTTCACTTAACTTACCAGCCAGGCCCATTATGGCTACTGACATGATCTAGCAGTAGCATAGCAAGATTCTTAGAAGGATTTGAACGAATCTACAGTGATAGTTTTTGACATAGGCTTATAATTTTTTGAAATGTTTTTGTTTAATTTAATCACCTATTGATAAAGTTTTTATTTTTCAGGTTGCTTTTAAAGTCGCTGAAAGCCAGGGTATCCCAACTACTCTTGATTTGAATGAAATGCTCACAAACGACCGTCCCGACTGGGCTAGTGTTATGGCTTACATCGCCTCGATCTACAAACACTTCGAAGTCTCAAACCCCTCATCTTAATCCACTCGTCTCTTTCTCAAACCATTTTTGTATACAGACCTCCCCCCCCCCCCCCCCTTGTGCCTATTTTCTGCCCTCTCAACTCTGCATTTATCCCTGATATTTGGTCGCCATTGGATGTCCGACTGTTGTAATCCCTCATCATTTTTCCTTGAATGGCTGTGCGAATAGGATCTTAACGTCCCCCCCTTCCCCACTCCATATTCGCACTTGCACGTCCTCACCCCAACTCCGTAAAAAGACGTAACATCTTTCTCCCATTGTTCTGAATTGTAATAAGTTATTGATATGATTTAACTATATTTATTCAAATGCATAAGGGCTGATTTACCCCCGTATTATCGCTATTCACTATTTGTTTCTTCCATTCTTGGAATTGTTTACACTATAGCAGTCTGGGGGGTTTTGCATCTAGCCAATATTGAGCTTTTAATGTTTCTACGTGGATTTGTGTGAATAAGTATATATTGTGCTTATGGATCAAGGAGAAAGCTGAGATATGTTCAAAGTGGGACCCGTCGTTGGAGGCCAGAATGCGAAGTAATGTGGTGCGGGTTTCTTCTCCATGGCGTCTTCTCCCTACGAGGTTGAATGCCGAAAGGTATATTTACCGCCAGTTATCACAAATTATAGCACACTAGTAAAAGACTCACATTCCAATAATAACGTTGAAATCGGTAAAAGTGAGTGGAATCTCCTAATTTCCTGTGTGAGAATTACTGCCACTTTATCAGTTCGTTATGTGAAATAGAGGAGAAAAACATAATATTTCCATCATTGTGAACTTCCCATCAAAATATAAGTGCTTTTTTGAATTTATAAAATCTTATTATCCAATTTATGTGGGACTCTGCTATTCCTTCTCTTTTCAAAATGTTTTTTTTTCAAACTAGTATTAATAATGAGGCGTTAGTCTAAAATTGTAAAAAGTTGTGTCGAATATGAAAAAGTAGTGATGGAAGCATATTTGTCAAGTTAGAGATATTATCGGTTAAGAGGTTTCAATATAGAATTTTTGCTGTAATGGTGATAAATTCTCAAATAAATAAAAGTAACAAAAATTATCATAAAGGTGAATGGTGTATGAGTGATGTTCAGATTTGTTAAATTAGATATCATTTGATGAAAACTCAACAATACAAATTTATTGATGGAAAAGAGCGAGTATTTCGGTTGATAGTAGTCTGTTAAATAATTACACGAAGACTTCTTAGAAGGTCTTAAGTGCGCTAAAAAGTAGAGCTTGAAAATCACTTCCTTCGGGTGACCTGGCGGTCGATGTGTAGGTCTGTCCACTCAAGATCTTCTGTACCCTCCCATATTAGAAGAAGTGCATAAGAAATGGAGTTGAAATAGTAGGCACGAAACTGAAAAGGTGGATTTTACGGATAGAGGCATCCAATAGCCTGTCAAGTTAAAGGTCACCAGTTGGACAATCATCTATGCATATTCAGTTGTGTAGAAGAAAATAGAAGTGGTTTATTTTGCTAAGCAGTATGATGTAGGAATGCACCTTTCCCATCAAACCAGTTGTATGGGAACCTCTGTCTGTTCAAGTCTATTTTTACCAATACTTTCCAGTTGGGGTTTGTAGTTAATAATGCCGGACATTTAACAGCCGATTGCAAAATGATTTTTTTTAAAATTCTCAGGTAACCATTGCTTGCAGAGAATAATGAGTGGACGAAAATATTATCTCCAAATGATGTTTTTTAAATCGTAGTTAAAATAACATAGCTATTGGCTCTGCCCCAATCTCTTATATTCTAAACAAAGCTTTCACGCCTATATTCAGTGATTGTCCGTTTTTGGAAGAAAAAAGGGTTTGTCGAAATATAAGGGAGAAATCTATGACCACTGGGATATCCAATTCCCCACTTCCTGGCCAAATGGCAAACTCCCTTTGAGACCAGACAACTTGGCTATAATTGACCCCTGTCGTCATGACTGTCTCATTTTTATGTCTAAAGAGATTGCATTGACACAACATAACAGGATATAATCTAATATCTGTGGGATCTTTGAAATTTTCCCCAATACTTTTAGATCAATTCAAAATAATGACACCAGTTGATTAAGTTCCGACGAATTCAGACATTTTAGTTATAAATTAATTAAAATCCGTCATAATTGTGTCGACATAATTATGGCTCACAAATTCTCTTATTTCTTTTAATTATAGCCTGATTTTAAGGCAATAAATTAAATTTATCTTTAAGTCTCCCCATAATTAGTTTTTTAGTTAATCCTTTTAAATAATTTTGAGGGCTCTTTTAATTAATGTCATACAAAACAGCGTTTAATTAGATTTTCTGTGTTATATTAATCTAAATTGAAGAAACACAGAAATCAGAATACAAGGGGTTCATTGGTTCGCACATTTCAATATTCCTACTTATTTCATTCGGTTTATCGGTTAGAAAATGTCGATTGATCTGACTAAACAATTATGTACCAAGGGTGTTAATAAACGTTTAATTTATAAATAGCAAGGCCAAGAGTTATTTAAACTGATAGGGAGAATGCTATTTACTAATTATGCGATTGATAAAGCCTCCGGATTTTCGCTTAAAAAGGAGCCCACAACCCTTTTCAAGGTGGTCCTTTAGAAGAAAACACATGGCTGGTGGTAGTGTAAGTATCAGAACACATTGGAAGAAAATGTTGGACTGGAAAAGCCAGACGGAAGAACATTTGCCTATATTCGAAGTTTATTTCAAATGGCAGGCTTTATGAAATTTATCATTAGGCCATAAACTTTCACTTCCCCTTTCCCCATGGGTGGGGGGGGGTACATATATAGCAGTTAATTAATAACAGTTCATTGGCGGTCTTCTTGCTTCCCAGTATCTCTGGGTTTTCGTCGTTGTCTTTAGGGCTGGACACCGAATCAGGTGGGTCTTCTCCATTTCCTCCTGTAGGTCACATAGGGGGCATGTGGGTTGAGTGTATACTCTCAATCTGTGACGGTGTTTTGCCAGGCAATGGTGTCCGGTACATAGTCGAAACTCAGCAACGGCTTCGATTCTTGCCACTGTCCACTGTTTCTCCTTTGTTTGAGCTTTAAGTACGTTGCACCTTGAGGTCTTGAATTCCTATATGCGATGTGGACTTGTGGAAACAAAGTAACGCCCTTAACTTCATGCTGCACTTGGGGTGACCTTTCCCTCACCAGGTCAACTCTTTGCTTCGTGAACCCTGTTTTCGTGCATCCTATGAACTACATGTGCTTTCATACTTACTCGTCTAATTTATGTTATATGTCCTAATAAATATCTACTTGTGCTATACATCCTACAGCAAGAAGCCAACAGACGTGGTTCAAATTCACAGTTTAACTTTTTTCTCGAGTTGAACAATTTTCATAGGTTGTCTCTAAGCTGCCTGGCTTCCTTAGTAAGATGTAATTCTATTTGTAACACCAGAAAATTCAAAGAGGGCTGCAATACGACAAAGCCTTTGCACAGTTAGTGAAATAACTTAGAGCAGATAGACCCTAAAGAGGCAAAAAATAGACTTGCAACAGTAAAATGTTGCCCAAAAAATATCCGTCGGTAATTTTTTACTTAAATCCACTTGCTAATTGCGATAATGCACTAGAAATTGATGTCAACGAAGACGTGAGATGAATTCTGTTCGTTGTGTAAATTTCCACCAAACCACTAGGAGATTTCATCATTATTGGACTAGGGTGCGGGGAAACCACTTTGAAGTCACCCTTGTGAGTTGTCCACACTATACCACCTTCCATGGTTGACTGGAATTAACAAATCATTCGGTATAATGCACTGAAGATCAACTCTCTGAGCTCTAACATAGTCAATGTGGACCTTTACCGTTTATCCACGGACGGCGTTCAACTGTTGCAATGTAGTAACTAAATCGTTATTGTATTAAAGTGCTGATGTTATTACTTTCGCAAACTTCCAGTGTCTACAAAAGAGGAAATAGCTAAAAAGGCTGAAAGACTCTTCTTTGACAAAGTTTTCAGCGTGATCATCAATTAAGTCTGCTCATGAGGTTCATTGAAAATCAAATTTCATAATGGTCTACTTTTTAGAAGCAGGAAACGTCAAATTAAATGCCTATTATTTATTGATAATGCATGGACAAAAGTGAATAGCACGGTAATCAATTACCGCTTACTCTTCAAAAATAAATTAACTAGGAATAATATCATTTCCGAGCTTAAAAAGTAAAAACATAGAGTGGAATTTAAATAAATACATTGCAATCGCCTAAAAAGATTTTGACTTTCAATTAGAAGTTCAAAGACGCAAAAAGCGCAAATTGACTTGTTGGCGGTTTTGTTTTGGAGCGAAAATGGAATTACGCCTAGCTGAATGTGAAAAATAAGAAAATGATGTCGCCTTCTCAGTAGCACAGCATAGTTGTCAAAATGTCTGTTGCAATTTCTAAATTTATCACTGCTCATCCAGGCAACAAAGTAACCACCTGATCTACTTAATGTTGAGGATCAAGAAAGGCGGGGAATACGAATTTAAGTTGAACAGTGTTCGAAATAAATTCAACACACTGAATCAGGAAATATAACGAATAGTTGATTACTGTTAGGTTGATGAGATTTTTGAAGAAAATCACTAGACAATGGAATTGCGCTATTTTCAAATAATTATTGAAAAAAGAGCAGACATTAGTGTTCATTACGGCCTTGATCTGTAGCAAGAAATAAAACTCGGTTGTTGGAGGTCAATCAAATCAGATTGTCTGTTGTGCCGCTTTCCACCTGCCACAGTAGCCACCATTGCAGTGTTAAAGGAGCCATATTTGGAGGGCCGTCTCGTCTTGAATGGGGTGGGTTCCAGTCAGCCATTCCTGCTGTCATTAAGTATGAGGAAGGCTTTACACTTTTGAAGTAATGTGTGTGTGTGTGTGTGTGTGTGTGTGAAAAACAAGCACTCAGGTATTATTCTGTAAAATTTACCACAAACCTTCAGTATTTCCACAACAATTATTTGAAATATTATTAATAATTTCAC